CCGCTCCACCGGCACCGCATCTCACCGCACCGCTCCACCGGCACCGCGCCGCCCGCACCGCATGTCACCGCACCGCTCCATCGGCACCGCACCGCCCGCACCGCATCTCATCGCACCGCTCCACCGTCACCGCACCTCACCGCTCCGCCGGCGCCGCGCCGCTCGCACCGCATCTCACCGGCACCGCTCCATTGGAACAGCACTGCACCGCTCCATCGGCACCGCACCTCTCCACCGGCACCGCATCGCTCCGCCGGCACTGCACCGCATCTCATCGCACTGCTCCATCAGCACCTCACCGCTCCATCGGCACCGCACAGCTCCATCGACACCACAGTGCTCGACCGGCACCGCATCGCCGGCACCGCATCTCATCTCACCGCAGCCCTTCGCCTGCACCGCACTGCACCGCACCTCTGTCACCGCATCGCACCTCCGGCACCGAACGGCTCCGCCGGCACCGCACCGCGTCTCACCGGCACCGCACAGTATCACCCCACCGGCACTGCATCTCACCGCACCGCACCGCCGGCACCGCATTGCACTGCTCTGCATCGCATCGCCGGCAGCGCTGCAGACGTACCCCGAAATTTAAGTAATTAAATAAATAAATTGCCAGATTTTTTTTTTGGCGGCACTCCGCAGGTGCGGGGGTCACCGACACGGAGGTGCACAGCGTGTGCAGGAAAGTTGCAGGACCCTGTCCTGCTCCCTCGGAAGGAAGGTGCTGTGGAAAAACGGGATCAGCTTCGACATCAGCGGGTGGGCAGCACGGGAGCCTTTACTGCTCATCCTCTGCATTTTTTCACCCTGACAGATGCCTTCGACCCTGTTTATTGCAAACACTGTGAGTTTGCTTCTCATAGAAATCTTTTTTTTTTTAATCACATTCGTCCCGAATTCAAGTGCTGACATATTGTATCTGTCTCCAAACAATCACAGGAGAGAAGGATACAGGCATCCCACACACAAGTAGAAAAAATAGCTTTGCAGCCTTCCAAGTACTAGAAAAAGAACACTGAAAATACAGAACACGCTGCAGACCGGTGAAACAGGAGAACAAGAGCAAGTCTCCAGTGTATGGACAAAATAAGCTTTATTTTAATTTTTTACTTTTTTTTTTTTAAACAAACAGAATAAATGAAATGTATCCCAGGCTGGACCTGATATGAAGCAGAAGCCTCAGTGCCATGTGAGATTTTTCTTCATACTGCTATTGCTCTCTCCAGGAAAGAACCTAAAAAAAATCCTGCTACGACAGCACCTTTGCAGTGACACAGGAGCTGCAATTTGTTTCCTGTAGTATGGAAGAGGTTGGCACCTGCCTGGGTTGTGATGCCCAGCCTGGGAGCTGCCACTGTCACACCAGGCTAATCAGCCTCTGCACAGAACACGTCCATACCCAGCATAGTGACATCTTCATGTGGATAGCACATGCTGCTTCATTTAATCAGTACATATGCTCCCAACTCCCCTACAATGCTTTGACTGTTGCAAGAAAGAGCTGATCTGTAAGAACAACACAGTCATTACAGGAGAATCAAATGCTTGTGCAAAAGGCACAATATTATGTTAGAAAATGTGGCTTTATCCAAGCTGCAATTCTGTGGTCCTGCAACTTAATAAGATACAACACTGGGTTGTAAAAAGAGGCTTTGCATGCTCACAGTAAGAGAGATGAGACCTCTCCTAAGCAGGTAGATTGAAGGGGTTTGTGCCATCCCTTTCAGCAACATTCTGCAGCAGAAGAGAGGTGGAGGAGATCACTTTGGCCCATATTCCTACAGCTGGCTGGAGATCAAGTCCTAAATAAATGACCTCCCAAGATCAGTGAACTCAGGAGAAAGATCAAAATCCATGGTTATTCATGGAACCAAAGGTTCATTTTGTCAGCTGGAGCACCCTGACACACTTTATTCTGGAGCAGCCTGACACACTTTTCTCCAAGCCCATTCCCACTCAGCAGTTTGGGAGAAGCAGTGACATAAAACTATTACTCTGCCTTCGCATGAGTATTGCACTTAAATGGGGCCCTGACGACTCCTTCACAACTCCCCGCTGCCAGAGTAGAAGAGAAATATGTATCAAATAGCCCTGAAAATTGAGGTTTCATTCCTGTCTCCCTAGGACTCCCTTCCTTCCTTGGCAAAACACACAGAGAATCTGCTCTTAAAACATCGACTCAAATTAGTTTTCCCAATGCCACAGATTTGCCCACATGTTACCAGCACCAGCAGCATAGCTGTGAACACGTCTCATCATGTGCCATGACGAGAGATGAGTATCCTCATGTTCAATTCCTGGCATGACAAAGCCAAGAAAATATCATAAAGAGGAGTGAAGTTTGCCTGCCTGTTTACACACAGAGAAGTCACACCACAGTCACACAAGGTTATCCAGATGTGGCTTCTGGAGGGACCTCTGCAACCTGTGGCAAAAGAACATGCTGCTCCCATCCACTGTAAGGCAGCCCTGGGGTTTGGAAATCAGACCCCAGACCTCATAAAAATTCACAGGCCACCCATTATACCTTTCCAGGGAGGCTGGCAGAAGGTTGGCAGGTGACCTCCAAACATTTCCCACAGCAATGGCACAGCTGGAGCCTCAGCAGTCACGAGGGGACCCACTGTTTCCATCACACCCAGGGTCTCTCATTGCAGGAAACACAAAATGATCCACTTTCCACAGGCACATAGAATATGCCTTGTGTTCATATCGTTCAGCCCTGCAGCCTATCTAGTGTTTGTGTTCTAAAAGTCATCTCTTATTACAACCTAATAGTCTCATGTCAATAAAGCACTTGAGTGTAATCATCCTTATGACAGCTTAGCACACTTATACAAGGCTATTGCATCGCTCTGAGTTCACCCCTGCAAGTTAAACATGGCAAAGTCAAGGCCAACTGACGCAGCACACTCTTTCAAGGCCAAAAGATCTCAGACAAAGATCAGGGCCAGGCTGCAATGAGGCATTGGCAGCTGAAGCCTTCTGCCCTTCACCACTCTGCTTTTTCTTCCCTGCCTACAACCTCATCAGTTTTGCTGGCAGCAGGGATCACATGAGTACTTCTTAATCCAT